ATAAAAAAGTAGGGGTGCCATTTGAAAAGTTCGACTTACGGGTGGGGCACCCCCCGCCCCGCGCCCCTCCCGCGGTTTGGGAAAATGTCAAATACGCCAAAAGGTGTCCCCCTCGATATAAATGAACACATCTTTTACCGTTTTTCGAAATTCCGACGCGTTCGGCAGATATTCAAGGTGGCTCGTTTTTCGTGAGACACCTTGTATAATGTATATACGCCGTGCAGCGGTAGCAGTGCAGAGCTTTTCACATGGGAAAAAATAAAGGGGTTAAATCAAAATAAGGAAATCTTCCAAAAACTGTTTGCATTTAGGTATTTCTTGTTATCTTTGAAACTAAGGGGAAATCTTTCAAATAAATCTCCTTATAATAGCAAAAATCGTTCCTACAGACTAAACGTAATGAACATGTGACAAAAAGTAGGTACCTATCGTGTGAACAAACATAAGCAGAAGAATGAATTATCCAAGAAAATGGCTGTTAAACTGTTAACCCCCCTCCCCCCCATGATAATAAAAATGAAAATCCTGCAAAGCTACGTACATAAGGACTGTTATCAGCAGTGTTCGAAACTCACCTTTGAGTTTTAGGAGCCATGTGGCACATCAAGCCCGATTTTTAGGTGCCATTGAAGATTTTTTAGGGCCAAATTGACTTTTTGCCCATATATCGTCGCTTGGCCGACATAAGGGCGTAACTGCTCATTGGGATGAGCCCGGAAAAGCATTGAATTATATGGACGACAGGGCTCATTGCTGATTGTAGTTATGTCCTTATGCCTGGAAGGCGACGATATAATGGCGCATTTAGTGAAAAGTCAGATGCAAAATGTTTTCGTAACAGTACTAGTAATCAGCTATAACATGGGGAAGACAAAAGCACTAAGAATGAAATCGTGAAGAATAGAAAAAGCAAGCCATTACTTGTAGTGCTGGAAATTCTGAGTTTTTTCAATTCAAATAGATTTGTTTTTTCTTTCTTTGTGTGACTTCCTGTGAAAATCCAGATTTTTAGGGGGAAATTTTTAGGGGCCACGTTGGCGCAGAGCCTTCATTTTTTAGGCGCATTTGGCGCGTTGGCGCCTGTGAGTTTCGAACACTGGAACTTTTTATTCCAAATGCCAATTCCTGTGAGCAAATGTAAAAAGTTCCAAATATAAAAAAGAAGAGTCCACGCCAATTTCTCTCTTTGTTTTCAGCAAGGTCCAATGGAAGACAACACGTTGTCAAAACCGAGTTCACTGAGTTTCCAGTGGAATGGACTGCCAGGTTTCACCTCCTGCTTGTCACCGGTGCAATCGAGCTCTTTCCAAATTTTGACGCAAGTGTCATGGGTGTTGATGGAGGAGGCTTTGTCATGATGATTTGCTTTTACATTTTTGCAACTGTCTCCGTGTAAGTCTTCGAGTTTTTTACGAAAGGAGGGATCTTCGTAAATTGTCACATTCCAAAAGGCAGCATCGGCTCCCGGAAAGCCTGTCGAAAATAAACCATCACCGTAAGAAATAAATAAATACAAACTACCCGGGGAAAAATGGAACCTAGTACACCTAAACAATTCTTTAGGTCAGAAAACTAAACTTCGAGCTCTCGATAAAAAAAAATAAAAAATGTCACGCGTCGTAGAAAATGTATTGCTTCCATGTTATTGTTTCACAGACATTTAACCGTTTGTCATAAGAAAGCATAATGTGATATTCTCATCCAATAATTTTAAGTCTCGGGCAAGTTCGTCTCGAAACTCTGCCATTTCCGATGCAAATCACAAATTGGCATAGCTAGAATCTCGTTTGAAAGTTTTTTAATAAAGATTTTCAGCCTACACTGTCGTAAAATTCTCTCCTTAGCAGTAGACTCTTTTTTGCATGCAAATAAATAAATAAATAAATCGATGAAACAAAAGCGATTTATATATGGTCACAAATAAAAATACGAAAGTTTACCTCATGCATAATGATCAAAAACAATAGAAAATTGTCTGAGAGTATAATCCAGATGACAAATAATCCATGTTTTGACAGCCACAGATCGATTGTGAACTACAGCTAAGGCGTTTGAATCGTTTCCTATGGTAAAATGACTTGAAACTCATTTAGATTGCACTGATACAGTTTAATTCACATTCGCATCAGTTTCTTATGCCGTAACGTACTGAAGCGGAAAACTAAAAAATCCGTAGACTTCTTTCGCGGATATAATACAATGAAAAAAAAGAAGCTTGGATCAAGCATGATGATTCTTGAATTTGCCGCCAAGAATTTTTTTTATCTTTGCTTTAAGCCGACTTTTTCTTGATACAAGAAATATAGGTAATGTTCGGGTTAAGCAAAAAAGTAGCTTACATTAACCAGAAAAATTCTTGATTTAAGAAGAAATACTTCTTGTCGGAAAATTTCAGATTCTTTTTTTTCTTCAGTGTAAGGGTGGGGGGGGGTGAAGGCTTAAAAATGCCTGCATCGTGATTTACGAATCAGTTTCCTTGAGTAACTGCTGTCACTCTCGTCGTGAGGACTCCATGAAATGAAGGACGGTGGCGTAGCTAGGAATGTTGCATGTGTGAGGGATTTGCGATTTGACTGTTCTTCCTTATATAAAATTTTGCGAGAAACACGATGGTGCCACTGGTTTTCTCTGAAATCATCTCCCAAGCTCAAAAAAAGCTCACAAAGTGAGGCCAAAATGGAGGGGATATCCCGCCTTACCCTGAGAGTCCACCTCTTCATCAAAACAAACTCTCCATGCAAAGATAGGGAGCAAATACATTGACAGGGCTGCCACTTCATTTGGGGACTTCAAAACTGAAAACACAGCAACCCTGCTAATGTATTTGCTCCCTATCTTTGCATGGAGAGTTTGTTTTGATGGAGAGGTGGACTCTCAGTGTAGGGCGGGATATCCCCTCCATTTTGGCCTCACTTTGTGAGCTTTTTTTGAGTTTGGGAGATGATTTCAGAGAAGACCAGTGGCACCATCGTATTTCTCGCGAACTTTTACATAAGAATCAATGGTCAAATCGCAAATCCCTCACACATGCAACATCTCCATTGAACTGAGCTAGATTTGAACCATAAACCTTAACTTACGTATAAAGACATTGCTAGCAATTGCTAAGATGAAGAGGCTGTACTTGTGCATTGCCACAGTTGGACTGAAAACTTTTGGTGTTGGACTAAAAACGAGAGCGGAACATACACCTGTGCTCGGCAATGATTCTACTGACAACCAACTGTTCGGTGTCAGTATTATATTCTGCCGTGTTAAGAAAGAACGCCGTATGAACCTTCAGGCGTTGCCAAATTTCCTCTGATAAAATTCAAATTTCTTAGGGAAATTTTAAATATTTTTCTTTCAATTTTTCAGACTATTTAGTTCGCAATTCAATCTAAAATATCTGAAAATTTCATGAAAAACATGCATTAATTTCGTCAAAAATGCATGTTTTATCCGGGGAAATTTGGCAACTCTCGAATGTTCATACGGCGTTCTTCCTTAACACGGCAGTATTTGTTAGTATTTGTTATTGAATATATTGTGCATGTTGAGGTTTTCAAAGCATGAATGCGTGAATTTTTTTTAATGTTGTCAAGCACAGATGTGCACTGAATCTGCAAATCGAGCGCAGTTGAGAAAACAATGGAATATCGAAAGGAAGGGTTTCAAGTGAATGATGATGCTCTATGAAAATGTCAGTCTCATATTGATATTGTGTGGTTCACCGAGAGTATTTTATCGTTAACGGCTATCAAGATTTCTAGACGCATTCTTCAATAAATAATTATAGGATCGTTTATTATCGAAAACTAAAAAGGATTTTTAACATGCGTTCATCAATTTATACTAGACCGTGGGCCAGCAGGGGGTAACCCTCCCCTCCCCCCCCCCCCCCCCCCCCCCCCCCCCCCCCCCCCCCCCCCCCCCCCCCCCCCCCCCCCCCCCCCCCCCCCCCCCCCCCCCCCCCCCCCCNCCTAAACCCCCCAAAATTGCTCAGAATTCCGACTTTTCCGCGAATTTTCCCACTTTTACCCGAAAAGGCTTGATTTTAGGGCAAAACTCCAAATAACCATTCTGAAAGCTCGTGAAATTCTGGTCTAGAAAAGTCTTAAGTGACTTTGACCAGGACCCGCGGTCCCCCAAAATGGGGACTTAAAATGTCAAAATATCTCAATTTTCCGCGAAAATGACCGTTTTGCCGCGATTTCTCGCCAGTAACGCGAAGAAGGTTGGTATTATCGTAAAATCGTTTACTCTTATAATAACAGAGCATTAATTTTTCATTCTAAGGGCGGCCTAACCCCTCGTGGGGGGGAGGGGGGCCCCCCAGCAGTACCCACCCTATAAAAACCGTCAAGATTGGCCGCTTCCTTGAAGTGGCGTTATGCGCAAAAATAGGCGGCAAAATGAAAACAAGTAGCGTTTGTTCTGAGAGAACATCAATGTGGATTCTTGTGGGGGGAGACAGGGGGGAGGGAGGTACATCCTCCTCCCTTCCCCTCCCCCTCCCCCCAAAAAATAATCACGAAAAACGTTAATTAAACGCGAAAATTCCACTTTATAAGACGACTTCAGGGCTTGTCATTGACACGCTTACGCTAACATAATTTAACGAGGGGGGGGAGAGGGGTTTACCCTCCCCCTCCTCTCCCACCCCCTCCCCCTCCCCCAAATAAATAATCACGAAAAAATTTAATTAAACGCGAAAA